GGCCCCGCCGCCACCCCCCCCCCCCCCCATGCTCCAGTGAGGAAACCCTTGCTCAGACATACCCTAAAGCTAAGGCATCAGCGGGAGGCGGGGAAGAGAATCAGAGACCCTCAACTCGGTCCTTGCAGACTGGTCCAAAACCCTGATTTCCTCTCTGCTCCCCAGTGCAGTGTCCAGCTTGGGTTCCTGCCCGAGGGAGAACCACACCAAAGCTTTGGAGCTGAACCCTGCGTGCTCCTGCCCTGTGCACCCACACTGGCATATTACTGTTATCCTTGGGAGTCAGCTTGCTCTAGGTAGCACCAGAGGCTCCGAATGCCGTACATACCTGAGCAATGAAATGACCCACTTGCCAGGAGTGGGGGCAGGGGGAAGGTGTTGGATGCCTTTTACTTCTACACTTCCCTTATCTCTGGCATTTAACTTTCTCACCTTCAGTTCCCAAGGGAAGGTCTCCCCCCCACAACTCCAGTGGGTCCTTATATGGCAGGTGACCAGGCAGGTGTATTGAATGTCGAAAGGCATGGAGGGCCCTAATTTCAGATCCAAAACCTGCATTCTCTGCCAGAGTCCCCCTGTCCGCTGCCTGCCCCCCTGTTCGGTGTCTCCCAGCCTCCTTTTCTCTCATAACCACCCCTACCTGCAGAGCAAAGTCTTCTTCCTGCCATTCCATTAAAGCCTGATAAACCCACTTCTGATCCTGAGCAGCCCCAGGGTCCTGGGGAAAGGGGGTGTTAAGGGGCAGCTGGTCAGCAGAGCAAAAGCAATGGGCTTTCACCGGACAGGAAAGGGTACCAGCCCCGTCCGTAGGTGCAGCCCCACTGGTGTGTGCAGGACCAGGAAGGTGAGGGCCCCACCACCCCCCCAGAATCCAGACTGTTGTAATGCTGCTGATTGTGTCACAGGTCCTACATGACCTGAAGGGCCCCAGCGTCCTTCAAAGAGGGAGAAAGGGGCACTTCGCTTGTTTGTGGCCCAGAAACGCCTAGCAACCCTAGCCCGCTCCAGCACTGCTCATGCTGGGTGCTGACACCTAACACCATGCCATTTCCCTAAGCGCTTCCGAGCCAATGCTCTATCCAAAACCAACTCCTGGGCCCACGGTCAGCACAATTGGGATGACTAAGTGCTGACACGTCTGGGTGGGATCCAAGTCAAGTGTCCTGAATGCAGGCGTCTCTTATCTGGCTGTCACTCACAGCTCCTTTCACAGTCGGTGGGGATCCGGCTAATGGAGACACGAGAGACATGGAGGAGATAGATAGCTACACAGGCGTCCAGGTGGCTTGCACAGATGGAGACACCACGAGCAAGAGGAAGGCACCCAGGCTGGCGGCGGGGGCAGAGGGAGGGAGCGGAGGTGCCGCCATGTCCTCGCCAGTGGATCTGGGTGGCCTGCACTGGGGCTGGGTGCGTGGGGGGAAGTCCCAGCTCAATCTCTTAGGGGCTTTAGCGGTACCTCTCACCAACGGGGGCAGAAGCATGCGGAGGGAGGAATGAGGAAAGCACTTCACCTCGAGAATGAGTGGCGGCATCCGCTGTTCCATCCTCATGGGGTGCAGCTGTGGGGCAGACAGGGCTGGGTTAGTGGGACGGCCTCCCCCGGGGCCCGGCCACCCCCT